AAAGATCAGGAAGGAGATCAGGCAAAACACAGAACAAGCCAACAAACACAAAGACAAAGCAACAGAGGAACTTAAGATTATAGAGGAGCACAATGACAAATTTAACAGGGAAAAGAATCCATAGAGAGACAGCAAACTACACAGAGCATTTTGGGGAACAAAAACTAGAATCTTCAGTAAAAATGTGTGAAGGCAATGCTCTTTTACTACCATAAGGGCATGGCCTTTGCCATGTCTTTCCCCTTGGATGAGGACCAGCACTGAGCCTACCCTGTCACATCCCCTCACCTAGTTCCTGGGCTTCTTGACCCAGAGCACCTCTCCTCCTCTTCTGAAACTGCACAGCACCCACTGGACACCCACCAGCCCATGGCATTTCTTCACGTGAACCGTTTCCTTCCACTTTGCTGTTTAATTCTGTGACTCAGCTCCCTAACATAAGCTCCTCAAAGACTGGGGTTTATGTCTTTCCCAACAGTGCTTTGCACACAGTTGGTCCTCAATAAATATCTAGGGGTGGAGTCTGTGGCATGGAAAAGAATTAAACTAACCAATGAACAATAGTGACAAATGAGGTAGCTCTCACTTCTTACAGGCTCACTCAGATATCTCACTTCCTGAAGCCTACTCTGTGCCAGGCATGCCTAGGCCCTGGGACTAGAGCAGACAGACATCATGATGTATTTCCCCTCCCACGGCTCAGGCTCAAAGGTGTGTGTGGTGGTCACTGGAGAGGCAGTTAAAAGCTCAGGCTCTGGAATCAGAGACAGCTAACAGGCAGTGTGGCTGCTACATCTCTCTAAGCCTCAGTTTCCTCATCGGTAAAATGGGGCTGATAAGAGTTTCTACCTCAGGAGGTTATTGTGAGGATTAAATGAAACATGCAGGTAAAGGGTTTCACACAGTGCCTGGGACAGAATCAGGACCAATTACTGTTTGGCTGTTATTCTAGGGCCCAGAACCTCAAAAGTTCTAGGGCAACGCAAACAAAGGAAGGGACCTAACAGGTCATCTCCTCCCCTAAAGGCACCCACAGCAGTCTTCCTTACTCAGTCACCTTTTTTTCTACAAAAAAAAAACTGATTTAGCTGAAAAAAATGGGGGCACTAATCTTCAAGCTGTCAATGATCAAAAATTTCCCTTAAAATAGTGCGTCTAAACTTTCGTGTGTATAAAAGTCAGCTGGAGTTTGTTAACATAAATTCCTCAGAAATTCGGATTCAGCAGGTGAGAAGAGACTGACAATTTGCATTTTAACTAGCTCCCAGGTGATGGTGCTGCTGATGCTTTAAGACTTAGAGGCACGGGATTATGAACAAGATGGGATGATTAACTGATGGTCCTACTTACTATTCTTGTTATTGAAGACTGACACAGACAAGGCATGCTCCATGTCTTTGAGCTTGATTTCTTCCCTCTGCTTTCCACTTCTCCAGAAATCTAAAGCCACGTCTGTGATCCTCTCTGCTCCGGCATTGCTGCAAAATTAAGTTCAGGTTTTCTCCTGAAACTCACAGGCTCAGGCTCCCAGCTCTCCAATCACGTCCCAGGCCTGACCTTACCTGAGAAATATGAAGATGGCTTTCTGATAAGAGACCCCATCCACCAGGTCATAATAGTCTAGGAAAGGTTTGATGGCATCTATGAGGCCGGCATGCATTTTATCCATTTCATCAAATATGAAGACGGAGCGTGCACAGGCAGTCACATTGCCTCGAATCCACAGCTGTAACTGATCCTGAATTACAAGGGGAAAAGCCAATACAAAGTTTTTATCAAGTGGAATCAAACAATAAGCATAAGCACTGTTGACTACAACTCCTTTTTACCACTAAGAACAATGGCTACGCTTATGGAGTGCTTCCTGTGTGCTCGGCACTGCACTGAGAACTTTACAAGCATGAGTTCTCTTGTTCCTCACAATAGCCCCGTGTGGCGAACAATGTCATACCCATTTTACAGATGAGGAAACTGAGGCAGAGAGCTTAATCAACTTGCCCAAGATCACAAAACTAGTATGTGGCAGAGCTGGGATCCGAACTCAGCTCTGCCTGATTCAAAGCCCCACACTTTGATTATAATTGCTGTGCTGTGATATGTCACACTGATGCTCTGTGAGTTGCTGGTCCTTGTCATCAAAACGACAACATTAATACATATTACATGTACACCAGCCTTCTTGGAAGAAAGCAGAGACCAAGTGACCTATCCTCTCATTCAATCCTAAGAACAGCCTGAAGAAGGTGCTCTAACTTTCAGATGGGGAAAGTTAAGGGACACAGACTCACTTCAGTGAGGTAACTACAGAGCACACATGCTCAGGGATAAGTTTGGTAAGGCAGCACTCCAGTGTCTGAAATACATCTGCCTAAACAGAAACGTGTTTAGGTGGTTCTTACAGTACTCAGCAATCAAGGTAAGAGGCCTTTTAAGCCGTTTAACCAGAAAGTTGAGCTGTTGTTCTGCATAATCCTTTCCTAGGTTTTTTTTCTCTTACTGGTGAGGTCGGAAAATTAGCTATTTGTTTTCTGAGGAAAACTCTGGAAGTTACTTTGTAGGTCTTATTATTACTTTAGTTTTTAGTTGGCTACTATGATCATGGTTACAATGTTCCATGTGTGTATCTAATCTAGGCAGTTAATTCTACCCTGCTAGGTATGGGCTAGCCTGTTCACAGAAACTTAGGAGAGCTGAAGTGGCTTGCCTGAGTCCACAAAACAAGTTAACTATTTAAACTAGAATTCACTCCAGATATGTTAGGTTTCAACAGCCAAGGTTTTCCCACTCTGCTATCTAGACTTACAAGCAATAACAGAGAACCTATATTAAGCACTCTGGGGTAGACACTGTCAAAGCACTGTTCACATGTTTTACTGTGGCCTCCCAAAACCCACCAAGGTAATTACTATTACATTCTCTATTTTGTTGTTCTTAGCTGCAGTCAAAGTTGAGGTGATCCCGTGTGTGCAGGGTAGAACTGCTCTATAGGGTTTTCAAGGCTGTTACCTCTCGAAAGCAGAGCACAGGATTGTCTTCCAAGGTGCCACTGGGGGGGTTTGAACTGCCAGACTTTAGGCTAGTAGTTGAGCACTTAATGTTAACTTGTGCCACCCAAGGAATCCTTCCCTATTCTATAGATGAGGAAATTGAGGCAGAAAGGTTAAGTAACTTGCCCAAAGTCACACAGCTATTTAGTGGAGCCTGAATGCTAACTAGGGTGACCAACTCATCCCAATTTGCCTGGGACTTAACCCAGTTTTAGCACTGAAAGTCTGGCATCCTGGGAATCCTGGTTGATTAGCGACCCTAATGCTAACCTAGGCAGAATGGAAAAATGTGTTCCAATAGGTCAGGGCTAAATACTGGCTCTCCCAGTTTGTTACATGGATTTAAAAAGGCAATGCTGTTAGGTGCCATCCAGTCAATTCCAACTCATTATGACACCATGTGACAGCAGAACTGCCCCATAGGGTTTTCTTGGCTATAGTCTTTATGGAAGCAGATCGCCAGGTCTTTCTCCTGCAGATCCACTGGATGGGTACCAACTATTGGCAGCCAAGCACCTAACTGTTTGCTTAACCATTTTTGCCACCAAACAAACAAACCTACCCTGTTGCCGCTGAGTCGATTCCAACTCATAGCGATCCTACAGGACAGAGTAGAACTGCCCGATTGGGTTTCCAAGGAGCGGCTGGTGGATTTGAACTGCCAACTTTTTTGGTTAGCAGCCAGCGCCACCATGGCCTCTTAAAAAGGCAATAGGTAACGTTTATTGGAATGCTAATGTGCCAGGCACCATGTTAAGTACTTTCCATACAGAACTAACTAAATTCACACAGCCACCATTTTACAGATGAGCCTGAGAGGTGAGGCGACTTTCCCAAGATTACACAGCTGGTGGCATGGAGAGCTAGGACTCAAATCCAGGTGTGTCTGCTGCCAAAGACCAGGCTGTTAGTAAGTGAGTTAAACTGTAAAACCGCTTTGCAACAGTAAGTTAAAACAAACGGAGGTCTCTCTAGAAACATTTCATTTATAAAATGAGTTAGATGTGATCATCTTTAAGTTGGATCTGATTATGTCCATCTCTAAAATTCTATGATCCCACTTACTAAACTGGGTATCACTGGACCTGTTTTCAGAAACCACCACAAAGGTATGATGGTATAATTGTGCCAAGCATCTCAAATACTCTGTAACTTCCAGATCTTTCCAACAGGAACTGACACATTTAGCCATTTTCAGTGTTCACTACTTTCAACATGGAATTCCCAAATCCCATTCCACAACAAAGAAATCCCAAACCCAGCATCATCCAGGAAGGATTCCAAAATTCTGCCCTTGCCTTATACAGGGTAATGTTCGAGGCGTGTGGAAAGTGCAGTGTGGCCACAAACAGGTGGACATAGTCACTGTTCAGACCACCCTCATAAATATTCTCTGCGATGATTTTGCTAACAAAATTTTTGCCGGTGCCAGTCCATCCATGTAGAGAGAGGGTAAGAGGTTTCTTGGGTTTTGGGTTGCTTATGAAGCCAAACACGGCATTTACGATGACTTTCTTCACAAGATGTTGTCCAAAGAGCTTGTTGTCCAGATCCTTCTGTAGCGCTGGGAAAAACAAAGCCAGTAAGGAGTAGGGGAAGAAACAGCTGGTAAAATTTAGCAAAGTTTAACAGGCCCATGTGAAAGCCAGCAAGGCCAGCTAAGCTCTTCGAGCATCTTGTGAAATGTGAAGTAATGTGGACTGTAAGTACTTGTCCCAAAGGTGAATTGTAGGTCCAGGAAGCTCTTCCTTTACTAATCTTGCTTATTCTAACGCCCTGGCGGTGAACCAGGCGGCTTTCTATTGGGAGGCTGAAAGGGTCCTTGGCTTTACTGCCTTTGCCACCTGTTTGCACCCCAAACCCCTGCTCTGCTCCTCCCACCCCAAGGCAGGTCAAGAAAAGGGCTGCAGTTTAGCCACCACTGGTCTGCTGCGGAAGAGTCCCCACCATCCTTCCTGTCCCCAGCCAGGATGGAGGCAAAACTCTCATTAGAGAAGTCTGAAACACGGTCCATACCCCCAGTTTCTGCGTGAAGCAGCTCAAGCTGCTGCTCCAGTATCAGAGGCGAAAGTCCAGTCTGTCGTCGTGGTCAAGGAACCAGGCCCCAAGCTACACTCGGGCCACTCGGATTCCTGCGTCCGGGCCCCAGCCAGCCTCTGGCCCCTGCCCAGGCCCACCCCAGTTCTGCGCAGCCTTCTAACCCACCTGCAGCACCGACCCACGCCTCTGACATCCCAGCCCGAGGGCCAGCTCCCAGCATCTGCCTCAGCCCTACCTTCCCGGCTGAGGCTTCGCTTCTGGCCGCAGCACTCTGCAAAGAGGCAGTAGAGGCGCGGGTAGGAGATATAGCCGGTGAGGACGCTGGCCAGGGCCAGCCCCAGGCTGATGGGCTCCACCGCCCGCACCGCCAACGGCGCCAGGAGGAGCAGGCCCAGCACGGCCCGCTCCAGCTTCATGCCCGGACCCACCCCGCCCTGCCAATTCTTTGGTTTACCGCCGTAAAGCGCTACTGCCCGACTAGCGCTTCCGGTTCCTCCCCGCCCCAGCCTACGTCTCTGAGC